CAATTCAGTTTAAATTTATTTCTACAAAAGTAACTCTGTTAGATAAAATTCTACGCGTATTATGATATTGTATTATGTTATGAAATAAATTTAACATTTATATATTGAGGTATTATATGAACCGTGTTCGTTAGATCGATTTACATAGATCGAATAATCACAGTTTGAAAATTGAAATCTTTTTTTAAGTTTTACAAAGCAAATGCTAAAAGCTTGCCATTTTGTAAAATGCAATGATAATATTGATGGAAAAGCAGAAAGTTTAATATTTGCTTTTTCGAAAATGGTTAATTTTATTTGAATTTAAACTTTAATTCGCTGATTTAAATTTTATTTTACAATTTATATGTAACCGCGTGTTTAATGTTAATATTGGATAATTAGCTTTTTGCAAACAATCTGAAGATACATGTTTATCAGGTGCTACAGCCTTTTGTTAATTTGATGTTAAATTAATCTTAAACGTCATAAATGATATATTTCATGTTTCGGTTTCGTAAATGCACATTAACGTACAATTAGATTCAAGAGAAGTTCTGAGTGAGCTGTAGTTGCAAAACGTAATCGTTGGCGTGTGTCATGAAAGTTAGGAGAATTTAATTAGTACAGGAATCAAAATCAAATGGACGTTATTGTAATAATGGTTAGAACGGAGTAGTGAAATGAGATATTCCTGCATAGTAGTATTGAAGTACTGTTTTAATTATTAATGGCAAGGATATATCGCATTACGTTGCTTTTTATTATATTCCATTTTAATGATTTTTGTTACAATATTATCGTAATTAGTTATAGCTTGCCAATACATAAAAATATTATGCTTTCATTATTTTAATATTTATACATGTTTGTTTATCCAAATTATTTGCATTATTATGATTTTATGAAACATATAGATGTATGTAAAACTAAAATAAAAGGACATTTTTCATTTTTCTTGGTAAAGTGTGAAAATAAATTACTTTTTAATATATTTTATTGGCCTATATTCTACGGCGATTACTATAATTGCACACGATTGTTGCGAAACTAGTACGGTCATTATTATCAAACTTCCTTGCTGGACTCCGACATGTTTACATTGCACCATGGTATCCATTCTATCGGAGCAACGATACTTTAATCCTCTGGTAAGCTTCGTTTCGAGGAACCTTAAACCTTGGATTAGCCAAACGAATTAAGTCGAAATATCTCTAGACGTACGTTCGATTTGGGTTAATCTTTCATCGCGAAATATTACGTTATTTGCGTTTTTTAACAGTAGTAGCTACAAAATAACAACTTATTGGATCAAGGCTCTTCCATTTACAATAATAAGATATTCTATTTACAATAATAATGAGATGAAAAACATATTTAATAATGCATAAACAGAATGAAATTTCATTATGTATATCGTGTTTAAATCCAATTTTAGTTAGAAGTTATATGGATAATGCATTATAATTATTCGTTATTGTTTGCAATATAACTCCTATTGATCGTTTTAAGCGAGATACATGGGTGGAATAATAACAAGTACGTGATTGAAAAAGGAGTGAAAATCATATGGTAAAGCGATACGCCAAAAGTAGGAACGGACGCGCCATTCATGTCAAGTTACGAATTTACAAGCTGTTTTCCAGCTTTTGTCCTCTCTCTCCCTTTCGATTCGATACACGATATACGATCTGCTGGATAAATGGACCTTTTAAATAATGTGTTCCCCGCGGAAGTCGCGCTCGTAAGGTTGCAACTGAATAAACATTCGAATTCACAGTCCTACTTCCGCTTCCATGTTCATCCGTTACCAGAACAACAATTTACTTCCCGTAGCCGTGAGTTATTTTACAGCTTGTCGCCATAAAAGTGCGAACATGTTCGTGTAAGTGGGAGACAAGATGAGAGTGAAATCGAACGGTCTGGGAAGGAACATTCAACGAAAAGAATCATCCTGAGTACAGCTACTGCTTTTACACTAAAAAAAAAAAGAGAAGAGAAACATTTTCATTAAAGTTTTTGATAAAACATACAAAAAAAGTTATAATTCCGTTTTTTCGATACAATAGCACGTATATAAATCACAAAATCTCTTCGAGATATGCTCTTTTCTCGGAAACATTTTTAATAATTTAAATAAATAAAATTATAATAGTTGATTATAACATATTGAGTAATTTTTTTATTTTATATATAATTATAATTATATATAATTATAAATTATATATATTTTATATATAATTTCATTGTGTTGTTGGCAGACATTCTTTATGTTTTACAATAAAGTCTCAAATTATTTTATTGCAAAATATTAACTCATTGTACTTAAACCGCGCGCACAACAGAATACAATGAATTTGCATTATAATACAACACAATATCTTTCTTCTTTCGTATAATAATTTTGTTTTTTCCAATACATAACTTTTTTATAATCAATATCCTTTATGCATCCTTTTAAGTGCAAAAATATTAAAGTGATTAAATGATATATTAATTATATATTAATTTATATACCTATTAATATATATTTACATATTAATTTGTGCTGTTTATATAATAATGTCACGAATTACATGTGTATTTATCACTTATTGGAAACATAGTAGTAATGTTCAAATGTCATTAGGTTTGATTAGTCTATGATATGCTGGCGTTTAATTTCCGTACGAGCTCTAATAATAATTATAGAAGAGAAATTGGAATACAGTGTTTCTGAAACTGTTGTTCGTTAACCTACTTTCGGTAATAAGAGCACGTTAGATGTAAAATATATCTTTTTTTTTTTTTTGTAGTCGTCTGTTAGCGTGCACGGCAATGAATAGACGCTGATTAAGTGTATTAGAATAACGAGTGGGTGTGGAAATGGCGTCTAGAAATAGTATGATATTTTTAGAATGAAAATACGACAAAGGTTCAACGAGATCTTTCATTTTTATTACGGTGAACTTTGCTATGTAGTAAAAATAAGCGATGATAATTCTAGACTTACATTTTTAAATGAATAAAATAAATATATCAAATATATAAAATAAATACGTAAAACATGTGGAGAGATATCTTCAAAATTGTCTGAAACAAAAGCGTTTGTTTGTTGGATCTTTTTTGAATGTAAAATAGTGTCTTCTTTTTTTTTTTAAATGATCAAAGTGCTAAGTAAAAAGAAAAATTGTGAGGGCATTACAAATAAACGCTCCAAAGAACTGCTACAGAATTATCTCAAATATTTCGTGTATTATTATCCGGTCTATCTCAGAGTTTGTTCGCGTTCTTTCTCTCCGTGTTCGACGACAATCTGCACAAGTGACGACGAAGTGATTATTTCAATAGACAGGAACGAGGGAAATATTCAGCGCACGAGAGACAGAGGGGTGGAGGGGGGGAGGAAAGGAGAGCGGGATGGAGGCACAGAGAAAGAGATCACGGACAATTTAATCGAGTAAATCTAATCGAATCGCGATACACAAAACTTGACGCATTCTTGACGCCTGTGAATTGTTCACGCGCATTCTTCATCTTCGGAGATCAAGGGGCGAATATCGGATTGCTCGGTCCAATTCCAATCACGTAGTCGAGTTACAGCGGTCCTCCGAAGATCCCAAGTAGCTGCTAGTGCAGTTCAGTGCTTTACGGTTTGCATACTTGCAGTCGTTGATTTACGGACGTGCACCGGGGGGGAGGAGGGGGGGAGAGGGCGGGAGAAATGTAATAGCGCGACCTAGGTTTGTTATTGCCGGTGCAACAATCGTTTGTATGCATTACTCTTTGTGCGCGGCTTTATGCATATAATCTAGACGCCGGGACGAAGACGGTCGTTATCAAGACAATGTACCGACTATGTCGAGAAGCACTCTGCTTCTCAACGCCGCGATGTCGCGACATTATTGCGAGCCTTGTCGATGGAAAAGGCAACGAATTATACAATGTCGCAGATTATACGATACCGCCGGTTGACATATAATGCAAAAGCCCGTTATGGTACAATAACACTTTCCTTTTAAAAATTTTATTGAACAATTTTATAACGTGTAATATGAGACAGATTAAAAAATATTTATTGATGAATATAAAATAACCATCTTAATCCTTTAATGGTAATTATAATTTTATTACTTTATTTCCGGATATTTTGTTTCCTGATTTTTACATATATAATTTGGTGAAATGTTTTCTCGATTAATATTAACAGTAATTAATTGATATATTTTTTCGCGCGAATATCGAATATAAAATTCGATATTGTGATGATACAACAACGAATGCAAATTAATGATAAATTCAGAAGAGATGAAATATTAAAAAAATAGAAATATTATTTTGTTGGCAAAGTTTTCACGAGTATTTAATACTTGCAAAAGAAGGCAATAACATTCGTGGTATAATTACGAGTATATCCGAATAATCAAAACGCTTATGATCTTCTTTCGTTTTACAAATTTACTCAATAAAATTGGGAAAATTGGGAAAATTGGCGTATGCTTTACCGCCATCTTACCGCGAACGCCTCGTCGCAGGAGAAACGACCAATATCGGGTCGGACAGATGTTCCTTCGTCGCCGCGTGAATTATCGACTTCGCTCCTCCGTGCGCAATTCCTCCTGCCGTTAGGAAATATTGAAGAATTTGCATATTTCGCATCTCTCGTACGTGACTGCTCACGACATAACTAACAGGTCTTTTTTTATCTTGTTTTTATTTTTCATTGTTTCTCTATCGGGATGTCGACTCTGGCCGCACTCATCTATCG